CTTTCTGCTGTGAAAGATCTGCAGCTCTGTTTTCTGGGATGAGTCATCAATTAACCTGAAGCCTGAAAGGGAAACATGATTCTAACCGTTTCTGCCACATTTGCCAGAGTGAAACCTCCCATGCTTAATGCAAACTTCTCTTTGTAAATTCAGACCCATACAAACATTACATTTTATGCACATTAGACGTATATCTTAACATAGGCTTCCCACAAAGGGGTGCTGAACTACAGCTCCCAGCAGTCAGCATGGCCTGAGGTTAGGGATGATAGGATCCAGACTCGTAAAACATCTGGAAGCATCAAAAAGCGAATCTTCCCCTATTTTTAGGTGGTTCCCTCCATTGTGAGAGAAAAGGGGGGGAAACCTCTATTGAGGTGGTACTTTTTGCCACCTGCAACTTTTATATTAAAAAGTAGCATGTCAAAAATGGTGCTGTCAGAATAATGGGAGCCTCTGTGTGCTTGTTTGTTGGCCAAAAGATTCACCTAACTCGTTTGTGTTTGACAACAACAAGAATCCAAGCCATTAGTATCCTCAGCCCAGTCGTGTGGAATACTCTGCCAATAGAGATTTAGTGGGCACCTTCTGTGCCAGCTTTTATATGCCGGCTGAAAAGATTTCTATTCCACCAAGCCTGTGCAGGCAATTAACATCCTTCCACAATGGTTAATTGATTTTAAAGTTTAAAAAAATGATCTTGTTGTATGGTTTTTATTGCTGTAAATGGCCATGGGTGGCACTGTGGTCTAAACCACTGAGCCTCTTGGGCTCTTGGTGTTTTGAATCTGTGTGACTTGGTGAGCTCCCTTTGCTCTGTCCCAGCTTTTGCCAACCTAGCAGTTCAAAAGCACACCAGTGCAAGTAGATAAACAGGTACTGCTGTGGTGGGAAGGTAAACAGCATTTCTGTGCACTCTGGCACTCGTCACGGTGTCCCATTGTGCCAGAAGCGGTTTAGTCGAGTCATGCTGGCCACACGACCCGGAAAGCTGTCTGTGGACAAACACCAGCTCCCTCGGCCTGAAGCAAGATGTGTGTCGCACCCCAAAGTCACCTTTGACTGGACTTAACTGTCCTGGGGTCATTTACCTTACTTTACCTTACCTATTGCTGTAAACCTCTTTGGGCTTTTTTTTCTTTTCTTGGTACGGTAGTATGTACATGTTTTTAAAAAGAAGTAATGCTGAGGCTGGTGGAATCTGTAGTCCAAAACATTTGGAGGGCACCAGGCTGGGTAAGTCTGAACAAGCTGGTTAACTGATCGAGCACTGCAGCCCAAGGAGGTAGAGTGTTGCTTTCGAACTGGATGGAAATAAAGCGGAGGAGGGCCTTTCACCTGCCCATCCCTTACATAGAGCTGGGCTTACTTGGTTGACTTGTCCGATTTTCCTGTAACCCCCCAAGTGGGGACAGGCTCTGAGGGCTGACCTTTGTGGAGGGCTGATGGGGCTGGTGAGTAGAGAGCTACACTTGGGGCAGGGAGGTAGGTGGCTTTTGCAACCCTCCCAACAGCTCTGAAGCCCCTGCTGAAGCCGTGGCGTTTCTTGAGGGCATCAGCCACCATTTTCCACCTGGCATTGGCTACTCACTCTGGTGCTGGGAGCATCTGGAGCATCTGGCGAATGTGGATTTATGCCCTGCCCCACCTTCCTCCCCACAGCTCCGTTTGCTTTACGGCTGTTGTTCTTAGCAAGTCCACTTCATCATTCAAATTATTAACAGTGGAACTGCATTGACTGGGAAACCCCAGGACAGGCAGCTTTAAAAAACTAAACTAACATTCTGACATGCAGCAAGGTATTGATTTGAATGGGCAAACAGAAAGGAACTCCACATTACGGTTAGTTATGAGTTAAGAGTTTGTGTTTGGTCTCAGAGCAGACATTTCTCTGGCTTTCCATTTAAGCCAGGCATCCCAATGTCGGGTTGCTCCTCCAGGCAACAAATGGCAGCTATACTGGCCACACAAAACAGAAGGAGGAATCGGGGTGGAAGAGCAATGGGAGGGGAGGAGTTCCATATATATATATATGCATGCTTTTCAGGTTTTTACATTTCGCTAATTTTACAATCATTTTAACATTTCAAAACTTGACTTCCTTCCCCCTCTTTCTGCGGTTCCTTAAATTTATTTTTAACATCTTCTGCATATCCAAATTAATTTGCTCACTTATTCCGCTCCTTTAAATATATACTCTTACAAAACCGCAGGTTATTACACTAATCCTGCCAATGTTCTTCTCTGTTTACAATTTATCTGTAAATATTCATTAAACAAATTTCCATTCTTTTATTTAAAAGTTTGTTATCTTGATTTCTTATTCTTCTGATAAGTTTCGCCATATTTCTGCATATTCCATAAGTTGGGGAGGAAGTTCCTTAACCCTCTTCCTGCTTGGGTGGTATAGTGGTCAGCATGCTGGACTGGGGCCTGAGGAGCTAAGGCACAGTCTCTCAGCCTAGCCTACTCACAGGGCTTTTGTGGGGATTAATTCATAGAACCATGGGATGGTAGAGCGGGAAGGAAATCCCAACGGTCATCTAGTCTAACCCCCTGCAATTCAAGCCTCACAACTAAAGAGTCCCTCACAGATGACCATCCCACATTGCATTATCCTCACAACAACCCTGCAAGGTAGTCAGGCTGAGAGCATGACACACCCAAGCTTGCTCCCAAGCCCACTTTCCCTTGCTTGATGTGAAGTGAGTCTGCCTCCCTAGCCTGCAAGGGTGCTGCTTTGTCCATTCAGCCCCCCACCTGGCACTGACTCAGCACCCAGGGTCCCCTCTTAAGCCCGTTGAGCACCAGTCACCAGAGCATCCGCTGGCCAGCTGCTTCTCCACAGGGCAGCAACCCAGACCCTCCAGAGCTCAGAAACCTCATTGTGGGAGCCTCTCTTTCTCTCTCGCTCTCAAGGCAGAAAGGGCCTGGGGATTTACGAGGGGATAATGTGGAGCACAGCACCTATTTACGAGCCGATCATTTGTACAAAGGCCCCCTCAAAGTAGCAGAGGTTACCCTGCAACCAGGAGCTGCACTTCTGCCACTCAAAGGGCTGCAAAGCCAAGTATATGAAAGTTAAAAGCATTAATAAAAGTGTGACTTATAAATTACTTCATCTTTGTCACCCTTTTTGAAATGGGGTGAGTGAGGCCAGGGTAAATTTATTTTTAAGTGCTTTTGGAGACCATCAAGGGTCAGGCCTGAAATGCTGTCTTCTATAAATCATTCCGAGTGTATCTGATAAATGCTAGTGAATCATAACATTAGCCAATATTGATCTATTTATCACTTGCAACTGCTGATAGGCCAAACAGCTACCCCAAAAAGGGTTAAGGAGAAGGAAAGCTGTCGTGAGGGGGGCAGCAAGACGGGACTAGAAACGTTCCTCTTTTAATAAAAAATGAAGCTGGCAGCAGCTGGGTGGACATCATCCAGTCACTCGGAGGAGATTCCTTAGCCGTCTGTGGCCTCCCGAAGGCACCCTGTTCTCTGTCACCGTCATGTGAAATGGCTGCGCTCTGCCCGCCCCTGTGGCCCAGCCCATTAAATCTTCTGTCATTAGAAATGGGTCATAGTCTTTAAGGTGCTACGAGAGGCTTTGTTGTGCCAGATTATACAAGATGTCGCTCGTGCAATTAGCAGTTGTGCAGATGTAGGGGCAAGGGGTCCAATCTGGACTGGGACTCTGGTGTGTGTGTGTGTACAGGAGGGCTTCAACCTTTTGCCCTCTTGTGTGGTCCTGATGCAGATCAGCCTGTGTGATGGGCATCTCTGGTTTGGCCCCAACACACCCAGCACTCTGGAAGTCATTAGTGATGCCCTTCAGTTGGATTTGGCTTCTTAAGCCTCCTGGTTGAGGGTGGTTTTGCAGGTCCAGCAGCAAAATGCACCAGGAGGATATTTGGGCAGAGGTGGCTCCCTCCTCCTCCTCCTCCTCTTCCAAGCCTATCCTCCACAACCACCAAGTCATTTCTAGAGGTCGTTTCAGGTCCCATGGCTGGCATTGCAGCCAGGCTGGCATTGCAGAGTCTCACCGAGACCATTTGTGGATTGCAAGTGACACACAAAGACAATTGCAGTTCAAGCTCTCCAGCCCCGCCACACTTCCTCCCTGGACAACATCAGCTGAGAGGGCAGCATCCCTCAGTTGCCAAGCCGGGAATAATTGGAGAGCATGTGGAGGCTGCTCTCTGCTGCATACAGCAGCTCCCCTTTGGCCTCTGGACATTCCAGACATCACAAGCCAAAGGCTCGAGGGGGACAGAAAGGAGGCGATTGCCTCTTCCCTCCCCATCTGCTGCCTTGCTGCCTTTCAGTTCCATCCAACAGCAGACAGAATTCTTCCAGGATTAGGGAAAGGAGTTTAAAATAATGTAGCAATGACCAGGCCAACAGGATGGTGGGCAGGAAAGGTGATGTGAGCAAAAGAGGCAAAAGTTTCTCGAGTCATCATGGGTTGGAGAGGAGAGGCCAGGGAGGGGAAGATAATATCAGGCTCAGAAAGAGGATATGCCATCCTTGCTTGCCCCTTGCAACCACTGGGAACAAGCAGGAGTACCTGAGAATGAGGGATATTCCCAGGCGGGGGCCAGGGGAAGGAGAATGACATTAATAAACCTGAGTAATGTCCATTAACATCAGTGGATCTATTCTGACCTATAGGACCCATTCTATAGCTCTAGCACAGGCACCCCCAAACTCGGCCCTCCAGATGTTTTGGGACTACAACTCCCATCATCCCTAGCTAACAGGACCAGTGGTCAGGAGTGATGGGAATTGTAGTCCCAAAACAGCGGGAGGGCCGAGTTTTGGGCTGCCTGCTCTAGCATGCCAGAATGTGTCACTTAGGAGTGGGATGAGAACAGGTGGAGTGGTCCAATAATGTCCCCATTTCCATCAGTCGTATATTGGTGGGAAGTGGATGTCCTCTGACCTGAAGACATTTTTGTATCTGAAGCAAAAAAGGAAAAGGAAAAAGGAAACAGACACATACATTTCATTGGAGCTAATGTTTAATATACACAGAGGTGATGGCTGAAAGTAGGGAAAAGGCCCTTACGTCTCCCTCTAGAGTCCCTCTGTCTTTACAGGCATCCATTGCCAGGCCTTGGCTGATGCTGGCTGGCTGCTCCTTATGCCAGGTCGTCTCCTTGGTCAGGGCCTTGCTTCCAGGTGCGGCTGCAGGTAGGCACTAACTTCTCGGCGCTGCTCCTTGTGATGTCTGGACTAACAGAAAGGGATACTGACAGGCAGGTAGGTTTTCGCAGCTCTTCAAAGCCTATAGGCCCTGTAGAGCTCACTCTGACAGAGGAGGACACCCCACAGTTTATGGCAGGAGGAGGACAGATTTCATTCTCTCCCCACTACCACCCCAGCCAGCCATGTTGAGCCCTGGGGTGTCACTTCATAGCCAGCACTTCCGAATGACCCTTTGACACCTTTTCAAAAGAAAATACAAACTGAGCAAGCCTCGCCAATTCATGAGAAATATTCACAATTGTCCAAGGCTGCCTTCAAGATGTTTCATCCAGGTAGGGTTTCACACAACAAAACGACCAACTGCTTCTGATTAAGAAAAAAACCCCACACCTTTATCCCTTTAGCTGGGAAATCATCCTGCATTTGTGATGGTCAGTGGAAATCTTGTAGGTAGGGGCTATAGGCAGGTTTCATACAAGAACTTTTAAAAAATCCAGACATCCCATGGATGAAGAAAGGTCCTCTCCCCGCACCAAAAATATAAAATAAAAACTAGGCATTTCAGCTTCCAACATATATAAAAACATAATAAAACATTAAACATTTAAAAAACAAAAACCCTTCCCTATACAGGATTGCCTTCGGATGGCCCAGGGGTCAGATAATTCCATAGCCGCCAACATTTCTCCAATGAAAATGGAAACATCCTAAGGAAAAGTGGGACATTCAGGGATCAAATCTGAAACTGGGACAGCTTCTCAAAATTAGGGACATCCCTGGAAAATAGACACTGGGCGGGTCTGCAGAAGCATTTATAGGCAGGGATAATCAGGGAGCCAATCAGGAGCTAGCAAGGGAGTGGCTGCTTTGATGATCAAAAGTAAACTTACCCAGGTGGGAGGCCAGTGATTGGTATATTCCAGAGGGCAGGGCTAAGGCAGGCCTCTCTTCAAACCCACAAGCAGCCTCTGGTTGTAGGCTGGGCTTTCCTCCTCATCTTACAAATGGGGAATCAGTGTTGGATTCCCAAGGAATGGCAGTGAAGGCAGTTGGCTTTACCTTTAGCTGTGCAGAAGCAGGCATTCATTTATTTATTCCTTGCATTTATATACTACCTTTCTGCCAAAGGCACCCAAGATGGTTTGCAATTTTTAAGGATTAAAACAAATGGTATAGCATTTCAAGTTGGCTGGCGGCGAGACAGTGTGGCTGGAGCAGGCCTGATGCCCGTGTCTGCCTCCCTTCCCCTCTTCTTTCTCCTCACAGGGCAGGTGGTGTCTGCTGGCCCTACTCTGGGCAATCCCCTCCAGCTCTGCCTGGAAGCAAGAGCAAAGATCAACAGCAGCAGCAGATAGAGGATGCCCTGCTCAAAGCCTGACCTGCCTGGAGGAGTGTGGTCCTGAGTAGCTGCAGCCAAGGATGCCTTGCCAGCCACCTGGAACCTCTTCCTTCTGCTGGAGAGAAAAACATTTGCTCAGCGGGAGGCTCCGGCTACCAATTAAAGGTCGTCAATATTGACTATCTGAGGGATTTCCATGCTCAGGAAGCAAATTAGAAACTCAATACCTGAACTATTCCTAAATGCAGTTATCAACTTTGGAGTTTTATCTCTTAAAACCAAGGCAGCTTAGGGTTTAATGCTATTAAATTAGAGTTTAGAAATAAGATTTGTGCGGAGAATGAATGCATCATTCACTTGAAATTGCCATAAGCCCAAACCCAAAAATGCAGTGAAGAGCAGGAACGAGGCAGGTAGGCGAGGGAGGCCTTCCGCTGTTCGGAAGTGCTAATCCTCTTGGACTGCTCCTTGGCACAACTCTGCCCTTTGTTCTGAAAACCTTCTTATGTCAGCCACTGACAGAGAAGAAAAGAGGCGACGTTCCCTTTCTTTGTGGAAGTGGCACAATGAAGCCCCTATCGGGCTTGCGGCAGGCACGTCAAAGAGCCGGCACGAATGCCAAGACCATCTCAGTAACGGCCCGATTTCCTGAGTTCCCGTTTGCCAGAGAGTCGTATGGAGGGCTGGTTTTTCAAATCAGACTTACAGTACATTAAAAGCCCCTTCCACGGGACACAAACAGTCTCTGAATAGGGTCCTTAGTGTCCTATGGTACGGTATTAAAACTTAAGTTTTCATACAATAATACAGAAATGAAATATGTTCAGGAAAGGACCGGCAAAGCAACACTGTCCGGAGTCCCCTTGAGCTCTCTATTACCAGGGTTGGCTTCCACACAATATCAGCAAAAGAGATGCAGATTCAGGAGTTGCCTCTCATAAATCTAACACGGCTAAAAAATGAAAAAGAAAGAAAGAATCCAATTCCATGACAAAAGCAGCTTTTAGCAGGCTATTTCAATAATAACTTTCTTGCCACCCTTTGATGCTGTGGATCTGAGACAGCCTGTGGTGAATTCCTGAGGATTCTAACCACATGTTTTGCACGAGGTCAGCCTTCACCAGTTTGCTGCCTTCCAGCTGTTATAGACTACAACTCCCATCAGCCCTAGCCAGCCCGGCCATATGATGCTGGGGCTGATGGGAATTGTAGACCAAACCAGCTGGAGGGTATCTGGTTGTCGAAGGCTCTATTAGTGCCATGTTTCCATTCTGAAAAGAAGCCATTATTACAACCTTTGGAACAGTGTCTCAATGCACTTTAGTCACCTGCGTGGGATTATTTGGCTGTCATAAAATAATTCACAGCACATTGTGCGACTCCATGTGAAAAGGCCAGATTGTCATGTTTGAAGGCACATAGTTAAATAACTAATGCCATAGCTTCACTCATGTGGGATTTAAGAGTTTCAGATTTTATTAATATACAAAATTGCAAAACATTCACGTGATTTCAGTGCAGGCTTGGTGGGGGGGAAAGAATGATATTTTCATTTGAGGAGCTTCTTCTTTAGCCCATAGTCAAAGTGCCAGCAATGATAGCTAATGTAAAAAATTGAAAGCAAAATGGGAGCTGATAACAGAAGTTGTGGAACATTGCACTTGCCTCTGAAGATGCAACACAGGTTGCTGCAAAATAAGGGGAATAAACAGTCCTTCCTCTTCGCCTCCTAAAGGGACGCGGGTGGCGCTGTGGGTAAAACCTCAGCGACTAGGACTTGCCGATCGCATGGTTGGCGGTTCGAATCCCCGCGGCGGGGTGCGCTCCTGTCGTTCGGTCCCAGCGCCTGCCAACCTAGCAGTTCGAAAGCACTCCCGGGTGCAAGTAGATAAATAGGGACCGCTTACCAGCGGGAAGGTAAACGGCGTTCCATGTGCTGCGCTGGCTCGCCAGATGCAGCTTGTCACGCTGGCCACGTGACCCGGAAGTGTCTGCGGACAGTGCTGGCTCCCAGCCTCTAGAGTGAGATGAGCGCACAACCCTAGAGTCTGTCAAGACTGGCCCGTACGGGCAGGGGTACCTTTACCTTTACCTCTTCGCCTCCAGTCAAACTTCAGGACAACACAGTAGCTATCCCCTTCTAAAAGTTCAACTGCTGAGAAACTGTCAAGTCCCTGAAATTGGTCACAAATAATTTACATATCCCTGCCCCTATTTTTTTACATATTGTGCTTTGATAAAACATCCCAGGAAGTAGATCCAGTTTCTGGGCATTCTGAATATGCATTTAATGCTGCCAACTTTAGAAAACGCTCTTCTGCATATCTGCCTTATTGCTATTTTTAAGCAAGGCTCAGAATGTTTGTTCAAGCTCATCTTGAGATTCCTTGTCTGTGAGGAAAATTACTCTGGCCTCCCAACATATGTTTCTAATACTCAGCAGGCACCACTCATTTAGTCTAGCAATTCTCACAGTCCCATTATGGGGCTTTGTAAGGAGGTCTCACTTATACTTTAGCACCAAAACAGAAGAAGAGGGAAAGGGAAGAATGGAGATCCCAAACAGAGCTCTGGCCTGCTTTATGTTTACTTCATCTCAAAGGCGGCAGCCGCCGCTGGTGAACCCTGCATCCCTCTCTCCTCCCACAGACACCACTTGGGCAAGAAATGTCAGTCAGCTGTGCTGCTAATTCCACTAGTGCATAGCCTCCACACCTGTTTTCAAAGCAGTGGCACATGTAGAAGAAAAGAGGGCCTCTGCGCACAAGCATTTGTTCTCACCAGATGGTTGCCACAACCTGTCTCCATTCATCTGAGAGTTGGAGCTGGATGGAAAGGGTCCCAGGTCAGTAGCAACCTGGCATTCCTTGTTCAAAGAATGAAGGAATTCATCGCTAACCACTCTTCTCATTTCTTCCACTTGCACAACTGCTGAGTGTCTGGCTAAGTGTTGGTTACCACAGTCTTCTCCGTCGCCTCCAAAGTGTCCTCCTCACAAGCTGTGTTTGACCTTAAGGAAGAGCCTGTCATGATGTGGCAGAGCACCCAGATTCAATCCCAAGCAACATCTCCAAGTGCGACAGGGAACGACCTCTGCCTGCCCTAGACCCTGGAGAGCAGCTGCTGCCAACCAGTGTAGGCTATCCTGACTTCCCAATGGGACTGACTTGGTTTAAGGCAGCTTCCCATGTTCCTGTGGCCATGGATGAGACTCGTTAGCCCCCCATGTGAGCATCTTCACACATGAAGGGGCGAAGCTACCACTTGATGCTCCCCTGGTTGGGAGAAGGATCAGATTATCAGAGAATGAAACTGGACTTGGAAACATGTCTGACCTCTTCAGTTTCCCATACTGCAAGATTAGCAATATTCAGGAGGGAGATGCTGAAGAACAGAAGACACTTCTTAGAAACACTCCAAAAAATGTCATCTCTACAGAGAGCAATGAGGCCTTCCCCTTCTCTGCAAGACACACGCCTATTTCTGTGGATCATGCTTCCAATTCAGCGTCACTTCAAGGATATAACGCTGCAGGATTGCAAGCAGGTCCCCTCTGGTGAATTCGAAGGGGAGACATACCGCTATTAATATCAGCTGATGTTGCACAATTAAATTCTGGGGTAGAAAAGTAAGGGTCAGTTTTGTTTCCTTGTTGCTTTCATTATTGTTTTCTTTGCCTTTTCTATGTTACCATAACACTGGTTTTAATTCTTTTTTTGTTATTGCAAACCTCATGGAACTTTCCCCCATAGTAGTACAGGAATATTTTGATCTTCATCGTCACAGTTGCTTTAGTGTAGCTGTCCCTCTTCTATAGAATAGCCTTCCTACTGAAAACAGCTGGAATACATTTTTGGGGGAGGGGGTTGTTGGTTGGTTTTTTCCTTGTTTTTATTATGTACTTTGTGGTTTTATTATGTATTTTATGCTGTGAGCTGCCTTGAGAGCTTCAGATGAAAAATAGTATACAAATGTAATTAATAATAATAATAAAAATAAATAAATAAATATTTTTTGTTCTGACAGGATTTACCAGATGGATAAATGGGTCTTTACCATGCATGTCCATTTGTTAGGCTTTCAGTTTTGTTTTAATTATCTGCTGTTTTGTGTTTTTAATTGTTTTATGTGTAAATTACCTTGAGAGGGTGGTTTAGATGTCTAAATCAATCAATTGTAACAACAACAACAACAACAATTTTATTACCACCTTATTTCATCGCAAGGACACCCCAAGAGTTGTTCAGCTTTTTAAAGGGAGACTAAGCCTACCCACCTCCCCATTTAGATTAAGCTAAAATACCGAGACTGGCCCAAAGTTACCCAGGAAGTTTCATGGATGAGTGGGGAAAACAAACATCATCAAAACTGGATGATCCTCTTTTATCCATACCTCTTTGAAAATAAAGACCTCTGAATAAATATTCCAAAAGAAGGATCCTCCTTTTCTCTCTCAACTAATTACCAAGAAAACTGTATTCAGATGGCTACCCAATGGCATCTCCAGTTGCCCAGGAACCCAAAGATGATAAGGAGCACTGGTGATGGAAAGTGTTGGTTTTGTGAAGCCCCAAAGGGAAATTTCTCCCATTTGTGTTGGGGGTGTATTAAAGAAAAATGGTTTTAGAACTGTGTTGTTAAAATCATAAGGGAAAGCTTTGCAAGTTGAGTTATCATTAGAACCGCTGCTTGTTATATTTTGTATGTCTCTCTCTCTCTCTCTATATATATATATATATTGTATTCCTACATGATCCAGATTATACATGTTTTGACCATTGCAAGGCTGTTCTATGCCAATTACATGTGAACTAACAAAGCAGGATATCACCAGAAAGATCTGGGAACAACTGAGCTTGATTAAGTTGTCAGCAATGCTAAAGAGCCAAGTTAATTATCAAGAAGAATTAAATAAAAAGCTGTCAGTTAACATCTTAGGTAAAGAGAGAATTGGATGTTTCAGGTGTTTGTGTGGACTACGTCATGTTATGTAAAAAAAAATAGTTCAAGAAAAGGGTAGCTATGTATAGGACTTGATCTGTTAAAAAATAAAATAAAATTGTGAGATGGGCTTAGGACTGGGGAGGGGGGACTATTTGCTTTGGCACTGTTTCTTGTTTCTTCATTTTCAAAAAAAAATATATGTGTATACTAACAATGGAGTTTGGCTGCATTGGTATTAGTAGAATAATTTTTAAAACATTTACCATCTCTTGTTCTCTCTTAAATCTGACCTGTCAGAAAGATCATGAGCCTCTGCAGCCTCCTTTTGTTTTTTAGCTGACACACATTAGCCTCCAAGTTCAGCTGCGCTAAAACCCCCGATCCCTGCATTGTTTTCTGTGGGCAGCAGCAGCAATGCCTTCTCCACCAGCGGAATTTTTTTTGGCAAACATACCAAGAAGTTCCCTCTCTAGAGTCTTCTAGTAGCAAGAGTCTCACTCTAACCTTGGCTAGATCTGCTTTCCAAACAAATGGGCTGAAGTGGGAGGTGAGTTCCTCACAAAACAAATGTGAATAGTAGCCTGCGTATTGGGCACCATATCTCAGGATCTACAGATGAAAAAGAAAAGAAAAGAAAGCTGGGAACCTGGGGGTTTTGACTCATGGCTGGGAGCAGGGCTGGGGAGAGAACTGCTCCCCTTGACCCCTCGCCCCTGCTGCATAGAAGTCCATGGTTCTGGGGCCAAGGCAATTGCAACTGGAAGTACATTATCTTGGGAGAGGTGTTTTCAGGATCAAAGTAAAACTGTCAAGCTCCATTGTTATTTTTGCTATTGCCAGGAGGTGTAATGTTGTTAATCTCATACTGTTGCATTTATAGTACTGAATTATTATTATTATTATTATTATTATTATTATTATTATTATTTATTTGTATGTTTACTATTATGTTGGTTTTTAATGTTCTTTTCCTTTGTTCTTGTGATGGCTGATTTTGAGATGTATTCCTGTTTGCTTTGTTGTATGGCACTTTGAGCATGATTCTCTTTATTGAAAAAGTGGCATACAAATAAAATTACAAATGAATGATTGAAGTGGTGAAGGCTCAGTAGACTAATGCTAGCACCATTAAGGCAGCAGCTAAGAGATGAGGCAGAGCAGGTCCTGGCAGGGACTTGGAGCAGTTGGACCAAGGTCAGGCACAAGTGAGCTACAGAGTATGTCAGGGACACACACAGAGAGACAAAAGAAACAAGTATGAGCTCTGATGTGGGCAACATGCACACAGTATGATCACGGCAGGCAGGCAGACAGACAGGCAGGGAAGAAGCCTTGACGTAAGTGGGACAAGGAGGCTTTGGGGAGCTCCTCTTTTGGAGGAGAAGGCAACTCATCACCAGGTAGCACCTGTGAACAAGCGTTATCCTTCTTACCTTGGGAAGAGAGCTCAAGCTCATCAGGCCCACCCAGCCCTCTCCAGGATGTTGCATCTCTCCTACGGATGGTACATGCTTGGAGCAAAATTACGGTACATTGAAAGCGCATGGCTTCCCCCAAAGTATCCCGCATGCTGTAGTTTGCACCCAAGAAGGCTACAATTCCCAGCACCCTTGACAAACTACAGTTCCCAGGTTTCTTTGCCAGTGGAGAGTCACTCTGTCTCTACTAGACATGATTACACCCTGCAAACTAAAGCCAAGTGTGTCCGGGAGCCTCCCTTTCTCTCTCCTTCACTGCTGCCTCCCAAAACTCAACAGTGAACTGAAATTAAAACAGCATTCGAGAAAAGAGGCTGCTCTGTAATCTGTCACCTGCCGTT